TTATTATTATTATTATTATTATCATTATTATTTATCAATAAGATCACAAAAATTTTAGAAAATCCTTTTTAATAAAAAAGATTTCCTAAAATTTTTATTATCTGTAATTATATTTTATAAAGATTATACAAAAATATTTTATATATAATCTTTTTTACAAATATAATTAGAATTTAATTCCACTTACTAGTAAGGATTAAATGTAAAAAGGTTTTCCTATATGTTTCTATAAAAGCAATCATTTAGGAACTCTTAATAATAACAGTAAGACTTAAGATATTTTAGTAAATTCTATATACAGAGTATATATACTATAAGTAAGCAGATTTAACTAAAATTTACTTAGTCACTTAGTAAATTGTTGTTATCATAAGTACTGTTATATATACTTTGTATACATACTAGGGCTGTACCGGATTTAATTTTTTCAAATCCGGCCGGAGCCGGATTTGCCGGATTTCTACTGACAGATCCGGCCGGAATCGGAGCCGGAGCCGGATTTCAAAACAAAACTACAGGAGCCAAAATCCTGTACATCCCTAATTGGTGTTGAGCATGGTCAACAATGTGGACTATTCAGAATACCAAGTGACTGCTGTTTTCTGTTAAACTTCATTGTTGTTATTTAAAAAGTTTTATAGCAATTTCTATATATAAATTAATAGAAATTCTAATGAAATTCTATAGGCCATATGTTTTAAAAGTTTATAGTAATTCAATTGAACTTTTTTTCCGGGATTTTGTCACTCCGCCACTGTAGTGGATCATTGTGTCTATTTATTTCTGGTTCTTTCGGATATTTCCTTAGCTGAGTTTCAATGCCTTTTAGTAATTGTTGTTTATGTGCCCTGCCACCAGCGGACGTAGACTGAATAATTTTATCAATAAATTGCCAGAGTAATGATGATGATGATGTAAAAAAATTATTAAGCCCGGCTTATTTTGGTGGATTTTCTTCAGTTTTGTCAATCTTCTGTTCAGCATGCTCAGATTGACTTCAATCTTGTTTTTTCAGCTGTCAGTGTTGCCTGTAATGAGGAGAATTTAGTTTTAAATTGTGAGTCAACCAGCCTCGTCAGTATATAAAGAGGTTTCTCTTTTCAATGCTTTTAAAACGCTCATCCAATCACTTGATTAGGGTTGACATCATAGTCTTTATACCTGCATCATTCTAGAATATCGTGTTTTTCCCTAATTTTTTGTTGCGTTGTTGTTTTAAATTAGACTTAGCTTATTAAATTATAAAGAAATATAAATACAAATACCAAAACAAATATGAGGTTCATAAAATATAGAATTACAAAAAAAATTGATTTTTATAAATAAAATATTAGGTATACATGTCAACACGGGCAAAAAAAATGTAATAAATATTTGACAAAATTCAAAACTCCGGCTAAAATTATGCCGGATTTGCTAAATTTTTGCCGGAGCTGGATTTGGGCCGGATTTGTAAAAATGGCCGGATTTCGGCCACAGCAGGAGCCGGAGCCGAAATTCGGTACAGCCCTAATATATACTAAGTGTATATAAGTAGAATTAAAATAAATATAATTAGGAAAAGACTTTCCTAAATACTTCTATCAAAGCAAATATTTAAGAACTTATAAAACAATAATTCTAAAAAACTATATATTCTAAAGAACTATATATTAGGGATGTACCGAAGCTTCGGCTTCGGCTTCGGCATGCCGAAGCTTCGGCAATTTTGCCGAAGCTTCGGTTCGGCCGAAGCCAGGTCAATTTTTTGCCGAATCTTTGGCTTCGGCAAAAAATTTTAAGTAATTAAAGTTATAAGCTACTGTTGTACAAGTTATAAAAATATGCTAATTGCCAGTGTCTAATTAAGTTGTAAATTCAGGACTACAGAGTTAAAGTCTATACCATATACTTAGTATTGTTTACTCCCAAATGTCTTGTTATGGAGGGGATGATAATAAATAAGTAGAAATATTTTGAATATAATAGTAAAATTAAGGAAGGTCCTCATACACTTTGAAGGCTTCCAAGTGTGACTTAGATGAACTGAATCAGCATTTTTATGCAGAATAAAAACCTTATAATTTAAAACAAATTAAAACTTTTCAAAAATAAAATGGAAAAAAAACCATAATTTGTATTATGTAACGAATTTATATTAATTTTTGTGTGGGATTACCGCAAATAGAACAAAAATTGGTTTCAACATTTGACCTATAAACCTTAGTAATCTCACTTTAAAGAAGATTAAATATACGTTGCTACTATTTTAAATTATGTGTATGTTTAATTTTTTTAAATTTTATTTAACCATAATAATAAAAATTTACAAATTTTCATCGTAAGATTACAGAAATTGGTTAGGTGTCACTTATAAAGTTACAAACTAGTCAATAGAGTGACACATAAAAAACATAAAGTTCTCAACAACAAAAAAGGAAGAAAAGCAAATGAAATATAAATGAGGAGAATAAAAAAAGAAAAAAAAAGTCAACCAAAACTATATAAATTAAAAGAAAAAGAAAAACAATGATAATAATTATCCTTGCTCTTTTATTAATATTATGAATACTTCTAAATTGAATTTATATATTAAACATATAAACTTATATTCTGGTTTCTTCTTATGATATGAAGACTTTTAAATTTTATTTAAAATAAATTAAAGGTTAAAGCTTTGATTACTTTGAGCTCTTACATTTATCATCAAAATTTATTTAAATTAAATAAACAATTTAAATCAAATAATTATCAGCCTGCTCAGTCCCTGTTTATTTATAAATATAAAATAAATAATAATATAATTATAAATGAAAAATTTATAAAGTATTCTATTTATTGTTTTATTTAAAGCTCACTCTACTGAGTTGTTAGATTACTATAGAAGTTTTTGTAACAGATAGTTAATATTTGATTTCAGATACTGATGCAGATTTATCCATTACAGAGACAGAAGAAGAATGAATACTATAATTTCAGAGTGTAAAAGATTAATAGAAGCTTAAGAAAATGTTATGTAGTGTAAAATTAAAAATAATAATAATAATAAAAAAAAAAAACAACTTAAAAGTGTGTAAAAAAGAAGTTGGAGAGAAATCTATCAATTGTACTTTTTTTTAGCAGCAGGTTCACAACAGTTGTAGTGGAATACAAAATGGTCTTAACTTGGGGTTTTTTTTAGTTTAGAAATTGTTCGTTTAATGAATACAGAGAAGCAAAAAAAAGATATTGAAATAAATAGCAATAAAAAGATAAAGTGTGTTTGTAAGATTTTTTATGTTGTAGATACAACTAGATCAGCTAAGAGTGTTTATTTAGAGAAAGAGTGTTCAAGTGTAAAAGATTAATTTACTTGAGTAATATTTAGAGATTTTTATCCACTCTTAACAAAAGTTGCATTAAAAATAAAAATAAAATATACAGCACATGAAAAGATGCGTAACAGTAATTTATGGGGAATAAAATTTGAGGATGTTCAGCTAGCACACTATAATTAGATAGAGCAAACAAGATGATTTAAATAGAGGATTAAAAATTAGATGATTAGATAGAGGATTAATGAGAAACGATTTTTACATAGAAGAACAGTATGGCTATAAAAGATCAAAAAAATAGCAATGATTTTAGAAAAATATTGAGAATAGTTATAAATATATGTGAGTTACTGATATTGTGCTCTATATAACATTAATATGGTTTGTACACAGAAAAAGTAGAACTAGAAGTAGGAAAATTTGGGGAGAATGTTTCAAAAAAGCTTAAGTTTTAAAAAAAAAAACTAGGTGCGGTGAAGTATCAGAAACGACATAATGAGAAACTTTCAAACAGGGGCGCTGATAGCTTTTGCCCTGCCTGGGGCAGCAACCCTGACTTGTGTCCTCATTTTTATACATTTTTTCTATATTATTAGTCAAGGATCTTAGTTTTGGAACCTTTTTTGTTTTACACCCCTGCTGATTTGAATGCTGATTAAATTTTAAGCATATATAGTGCCGAAGCTTCGGCTTCGGCAAAGTGGCTTCGGCCGAAGCTTCGGCTTCGGCAAAATTTTAGCTTCAGTACATCCCTACTATATATTGATATAAGAATGGTACCCAGCATGAAACTTTTAAACGGATCAAACAGTATTTTGATAATAAGAATCTTATTTTCAACATACTGTTTGATCAATTTAAAATTTTCAAATACATTAGACCAGCGCTGGCCAAACGTTTTGTCACAAGAGCCGCATTTATATACTTACGTGAGCCGAAGAGCCGCAACAACTTCATGTTTGTTTTTTTATATAAGAAACTTTTATTCTCTTTCTTTTGATTATCTGAATTTTAAGAGACTTTCGTACTAGATAAGTAAAAAAACTACCCAAAAAATAAGAAATTTCTAGTACTAGCCCATTTTCTTGGTTTCATATAAAAACAACAATTTGTAATTCACTATTTAAAATCATTTTTTAAAGAAATATTTTTAGAAAATACAAATTATTTAGGAAATTCCATATGCTCCTAAGGGGTAGAAATAATTGTTGTATCACTATTCAACAATATCATTTTAATATGAAATTTAGATATTTCTTGGATACAAAATATCATTTTTTAAAGATTTAAGTAAAATATGTATACAATTGAATTTAGTTAATTGTTTTAAAACACTCAATAAATTTTTTAAAGAAAAAACTATTCCTTTAAAGATTTTGTTTACAATGCCATTATATCTGATTTATTTTATAAAATTCCCTTCAGACTAAAAAATCATTTCTATAGTTTTCGACAATCACATGATCACACTGATTTTGCACAGCACACGATTAGGTGCTGTGCAACACACTGGCCATGTGCTGTGCAACACACTGATCTTTTTTATGATAGATTTTTGCACAAGCGCATGCTGATCATAAACTTTTTTTTGATTAACAAAATTATAACAATGCTTATATCAATGAAATAATAATTAAAAAACCAACACTAAAATTAGATTATTTTACTTGATTTTTACAATCAAGAAATAACTTTTTCATCATTTTATCAATTTTTTACTTTGATCAAACTAATACTCATAACTTTACTGGTAAGTTTCTTAAAATCTGGTTTCAAACTTGTAGTGGCTGTTCTAAGTAATTCAGACAAATGCTCGTTGGTTAGATTTGCACGATACTTTGATTTGACAAATTTCATAGTAGAGAATAAAGATTCACATGTATACGTTGAACCAAAAATTGAAATGAATTTTATGGCAATCTTTTTAAGTTGAGGATACTTAACCTCGGGAACTATCTTCCAAAATTCCATAAAAGTTATTGTTTTATGCAGCATAAGTAGATTTTGATCTTCTTGGAGATCTAGTAGTTCCATTTCAAATTGAGATATATCTTCAAGCATTTTTTCAGGAATTGGACAGCCATTACTAATAATATTAATTAAAAAAGGATTTACTATAAATCCTAAAGAAGATTTTAGTTCATGCAAATCTTTAAACCTTTTTTGAAAGTCTTTTTGTAAATCCTTTAGTTTGTCCAAGTATGATTCAATCTTATCGTCATCATACTGAATTGAAGGATTAGAAGTAATCATCTTCTTCATTTGAGGAAAATGATTAAATTTTTTCAAGCTAAGATCTTTCTGAAAAAGAATAATTTTTTTTTGAAAACTAAATATCGTTTGTGCAAGATCAGATATATTTTTTTCTTTTCCCTGAAGAAACAAATTCAGACTTTTTAAATGTTGCATTATATCAGTCAAAAATAAAAGATCTTGCACAAAATTTATATCGTCTAGGATTTCAAATGTCTTTTCTTTTTCAATCAAAAAACATTTAATTGGCTCTAATAGTTCTACAAATCTATAAAAAACGTCACTACTTGAAAGCCATCTTACAGAACAGAAAAATGACACGTCACTTGGCTCGTCAGCAAGATCCAATTCATTTATAAAGTTTCTAAACTGTCTGTGATTTTTTGCATTTGCTCGAATATAATTTACAATCTTTAAAACAGATTTAAAAACAATTGGAAAGTTAAAATGATTTGCAGCTAAATGTTCTCGATGAACAACACAATGAATTGGGATAAATTCTGGATACTTAGGGTCACTTTTTAATAAGCCTATAAGTCCTAAATGTTTTCCAGCCATTGCTGATGCACCATCTGTAGCAACACTAACAAGCTTGTTGATAGGTACATTAGCTTTAAGCAGAGCTTTGTCAAGGGCTTCCTTGATATCAACTCCACGAGTTGTGTCTTTCAACTCAACTAAATCTAGTAACTCTTCTTTTACAATTACGTCTGAAGTCACATATCTAACGAATACAGCCATTTGAGGCTTGTCTTGAATATCTGTTGATTCATCTACAGCTAAACTAAATGCTTCACAGTTTTTTAAATCGTTTAGTAATTGCTGTTCAACATCAATACTAATCTCAGATATTCTTCTTTCGGTTGTATGTCGAGAAATAGGAATTTGTGATACTAATCTTTGGATTTTGCTATTACTAAGATCTAAAACCGACAGGACATCTGAAATGTTTTGCTTTACAAATTCTCCATCGGTATAAGGATGTTTACCTCTGGCAATATTCCATGCTATAACAAAACTTGCTTCTGTTGTATTAATTGATTCTTGGCTGTAAGATGAAATATTTAGTTGTTGATTTTTATTTTTCGTTTTGAGCAATTCAATTTTATTCTTTCTGTAATTTGAACATAACGGATATTCTTCAGAAAATTGTTTATGTTTTGTTTCATAATGACGTTTAACATTGCATGTCTTGTTATGAGCAAGTTCTATATTGCAAATTAAACACATAGGTTTATTGTTTCTTTCAATAAATGCATATTTTTCTGTCCAATCATTATGAAATATTCTGTTTTCGTATTTAATTTTTCTTTTCCGCCTTATTTTGCGAAGCAAACTAGTGTTAACTTTTACTTTATCCATTTTTGCAAGTTTTAAGACAATAAGAATGATGGAAATAATTATATGGAAATATATTAGCATATAACAATTTGGAAAAAAGCCGTATGCGGCTCGCGAGCCGCCTTAACATTCCAAGAGCCGCATGCGGCTCGCGAGCCGCCATTTGGCCATCCCTGCATTAGACTAATGTTAATGAAAATTTACTTAGTTACTAAATAAATGAAAAATTATGTATGTAAACTATTTCAATTTCTAATGATAATCATTTATAATTTAAATAATTTACATACATAATTTTCATTTACTTAGAATAAGTTACTTAGACTAATAAAAGTCTCATAGTTAAATAATTTCTAAAATAAACTAGGCAAATCTGAACTTTGCAGAAACTTTTTGTTAAAACATAAAGAAAAAACAAACTGAACTGTTACAGTGCAATATCTACTGTTATTGAACTTCGCAACTGTTAACACCTTAACACCAGTTGTTACATCTATACCTTATTATTATTTATTATAGACTTAGTTACTAAGTCCTTGTAACTAAGTAATTAGAATTAAAATCAATATAATTAGGATTATTGATAAAAAGGATTTACTAATTCAATAAGGAAATCCTTTTTATATATAATCTTAATTATACTTATTTTAATTCTATTCTGTTGCTATTATTAGTTACTAAATATTTGCTTTGATAGAAACAGTTAGTAATTGTTTCTAATAGAACAAATATTTGGGAACTAATAATAACAACACACCTAAGAATAAGAAATAAGATGACAGTATTTTAAAAAGTAATTTTAACTACATATAAAATGTACTATCTTTATTTTTCTTTAATTGAAAATGTCCGCTATCTTTTTATACATTGTTTTTACTTTAAAATTTAACTTTACTTAAAGCGGACTACTTACTCCGATAAAGGACAATCTACTCCGGAGTAAAATGTCCTATCGCATAGTTTACTCCGGCGGACCATTTACTCCGTGACAGTCCTATTTACTTTTGTAGAATGACATAATGTAGTTAAAATAGATTAAAGTGAACGATAAGCACGTTTTACTAATTGTATAAATGTTGTTAACAAGTTTTTATTTTGTGCAAATTTAAACAGTTTAGTACTTTAATAAAGTGTTATTAATTTATTGCAAATACTTTATGTCTCGTAATGATAATATGAACAAAGTATTTAGTTTTAGAAAATAAAAATGCCAAAAATAAAAAAAAGGCCCTTTACGCGATCGAAAAGTGAAGAGAATTATGGTTGCCCTTGTGATTTAGTTACAACGGATCCAAGCACATACAGACAATTAATTCAGTTTTATTACTTCCTAGATTGTTCTGACATTGAGCCAAACTTTTGGGCAATTATTAAGCGTGTCATGTGTTTTAAAATCTATATGGTTAGGGTAGATTAGGGTAATATTTAAAAAATAAATATGCTGGATCCAAAATTTTTGGAAATAAACAATTTTTAGGGATCCCTATTCATAATCTATTTAGATATTTGGGCACTTGACATTTTTTCTTAAAAACACAGAGGTTTTAAAAAAGTAGCAAAAGTGCTCGTATTAACCTTACCCCTTGGTAATATGAGCACTTTAATTTAGCTCAAAAAAATAGCATTAATTAAGTAAAAAATGACCAACCTGCATAATAGAACTAGTTGTTGGAATATAAAGATTCGTGATTAACAAAACATATCATTAAAAGATCAAATTTTAAGCTACATTTTGTTGAAACAATACTACTATGTTTTCCGCCAAAAAAAAAAAAAAAAATTAATACATTGTTTTTTCAATTTGTTAACTCAAACCTTTGAACAATAAAAACTAAAATTTTTTAGATTTAAGTTACAGAAAAATATTTAGTATTGTTAATAAATAAAAAATTTTTACTATGTTTTGTTTTTATTCAAGAAGCAATTAAAAACCACTGCTATTTTAGGACTTTAAACAAAGCAATTTCAATGAAAAGCACTGGGTAATTTGAGCATGCTCATATTACACAAAAATGGTATCTTTAAATAAAGTCAAAAATAAATGTTTCTATGCATTATTTTTCAAACAAAAATTTTTAGCTAATATATTTTTCTTTATGAAAAAATTAATTTCATTATTTTAGCACCAAAATATCGCGCCACAGAATTATTCACGCGTGATGATTTTTTTAACAAAGCAAAAAATTTAAAAGCGTTTTATTTAGATGATATCCGCTAATTACTGCGTATAAATTTACGCTAATTGTACTGATTCCTGTTATCACCACATAAAGTCGATTCGAAAAACATAAAGCAACTTTAACTTCACTGCTTACATCTAATAAATCTTTAAGTATGCTCATATTACCAAGGTGCTCATATTACCCTAATCTACCCTATCTGTCAATCCACGGTTGCCTTTAAAAAACGATAAGTCTATTAAAACAAAAGTTAAAAATCTATTTGCAACTGTAAAAAACATAAATCGCAAACATTCAAAAGCAAATATCAAACGAAATCTGGATTCTAAACTAGATAAACTTTTTGACATATCTGCTTGTTGCTGTCCATCGGACATTGTTTCATGTAACAATGTTTATGTAAATTGCAAGAAAGAAAAATGCAAAACGGAACACATTATTTGCATATGCCCTAAAGAAGCAAAGGTCCCAATAGAAGAAAGAATTTATATACGAGACCAGCGTTTAAAAACAGGACCAAAAGTCTATATTAGATGTCTTCAGTAGATACGGCTGCTTTAAAACACAATAACAGGATTAAACAGAAGGAAGGAAATATATCTTTTCATATTAGTATAATTAAAAAACGATCAATAAAATTTAAAGTCAAACATTAGATAGAGTTGGTGTATATCTTTAACAACTGTGTTTCTCCCATGATCAAACTACCTGCGTGTTCAAAAACAAGAATGTTGTTGGTTTCAAAAAAGTTGAAAAATATCTAATGTATGACAGGTAGAAAACGTTGTTGTGATTTTTAATGTTCCTAATTTATAGTCGTTTATTTTTGAAAATTTATAGTTCGTAGATCAGTACTACCTGTTGAATGTATGTAAGGATTTTGTTTTATTTTATTTTTATAAATATTTTATTAACATATTTAATAAATACTTTGAGTAGGTTTTAATTTCAGAAATAGTTAACATTATACAAATCGATTTTTTTAATTGTATATTTTCTTGAAAGTTAAAATGATTCTTCTTGGCTTATCTTCTTGTAGTGCCTACTATTATAAATGATTTGAAAATTTTTTAAAAATATTAAACTTATAATATCTATCAATATATTTGCACAAAGTTTAGATTCATAGAAAATTTAGACATCCATCTACGTTAGAGATACAAGGATTGCGGCAGCTTTTATCAATGTTTAAAAAAGACAATTTCAGACATAGAGCAAACTCTAAATATTTTATGCTTATACCAAATGAGTAATGATGTATTATGCGTCCATAAAATTGCTGTGATTGGAGTCTGAGGAACCTTTAAACGTCTGTCTTCTATCCGGATAGAAGACAGACGTTTAAGGGTTTTTTGTTCCCAGGCTCCAATCACAACAATTTTTGGGAAGCATAATTCACCATAACTCATTAAATTATTGCTCTCACATTTAGGTTGGGCCCAACCTAAATGCATAAGCAACAATTCAATGGGTTTTACATTACTAATCTTTAAACTAAATTTATATTATTCAATAAATTTTAAATTTTATAAAATTAAATTTATGTGTTTGAAAGGTATGAGCTTCCAATACCATTAATATGATAATTAAAAGCCAATGCTGTTTATAATCCCAAACAGCACTGGCTTTGGGGGAAGTAAATTGAGGCAAAAGTTTTGTTGTAGTTGACTCTCGGTATCTTGATTACTCAATATCTCGAACTTCTGTGTATCTCGAATTTTATTTCCGGTTCCTTGAGTTTGAGCCAAAATCCTCTCGATATCTCGAAATTTTTTCCCGGTTCCCTGAGATATCGAGAGTCAACTGTATTTCATGTTTTAAATGTAAATTAAAAGAAAATTTTATGTAAATAAAACGTTCGTTTTTATGACGTATCAAACATTTCATCGCAATGCATTATTTTTGTATTATGTTTGTTTGTACACTAACAAACGATTTTGATTTATTTGTTTAAACTACTATATAAAACGTCGAAAGAAAATTACAAATTCTATTTTTAACAATAACATTTTCAAAAGTATTATTGTTTCTTTTTTAAAGTCAGTCAGTCAAACTAGTCATTAAAAGCATTTTTTAAATTCCATTTATCTTGTTTTTATTAAAACTTGTGCCTAGTTTTAAATTCATTTTTTTTTCAAAGTAATTACACATTTTCTCTTAACATTTTATTTGAGTATAAGTAAACTTGTTAACGTCTTTGTTAAATAAAACTAAAATCTAAACCTATCGATTGCGTTAAGCATTCTAGTAATCTATCGATTGCGTTAAGAACTCTAGCAATCTAAAATATTAAGTAAAGTTCTATATTTAAGTAAAGAAACAAAAAAAAAAAGTTGAAATAATGGTTCTGTCCAAAATTGTTAATCGTTGTAACTTGATGGCAACTTTAGAAGCAAACTGCATTGATACTAAGCAATTGCCAAAAGAATACTTTGAAAAACATTTGTTGATGCTACACGAATACGAAAAGTTGGTAGAAAAGTTAACTTTAATGGAGAAGGAGTTAAAAATAGTTCGTCAAGAATCCTCATTAAATAAAGTATGTCTGATATCAAAGAATCAAAATGTAATGAAGCAAATCGAACACATCAATGAGCGACAAAATAATATTGAAGAAATTATAAAAAATGATAGAGAAATTTTCGACAATAGAATTAACCAAATAGAACAGTTATCAGAAGTGAACTTTAGAATATTACGTAACAAACTAAACGACTTGGCAAAAGAATCATTGTCACAAGGCCAGCTTCCAATGGTAAAACCAGGCATTGGCGAGGAAAAAATATTAATTGATATCATGGGAGCTAAGTTTCAAGACTTAAAAAACACTGCAGATTATGT